GAGGGGGAGGGGGCAGGGGCAGACGCTGCCCAGGCAGGGCAGAGGGGTAGAGCCACGGCTTGTGTGGGGGGGAGGTGGCTCCCTCTGCTGTTTGCACCCCAGGAAGGCACAGGGTGAATGTGTGCCCCCCTGGATCTTTGCAGGGTAGGGTGTGCTGCAGCCGGGGATGCACGGGGCTCATCTTGGTGGGGCCTGGGCTCAGAGTGGGCACTGGTGGTGCTGGGAGGATGCTGCATTCACCCCAGATTTTGCTGCCACTTCACTCCCAGTGCCTCAGCTGCTCGACACAGCCCCAGCTTAACGCCTTGCATCCACCCATGTGCTTGGAAGAGGCGGAGCTGCGCTGGGTGGCTGGCGGCAGTGGTGCTGGAAGCAGAGTGGCAGTGAAATTTGGGGTGGATGCAGCATCTTCCCAGCACCGCTTGCTCCCACCCCATGCCCAGCCCGCACTGAAAAGAGCCCCATGCAGCCCTGGCTGCAGCCTGCCCCACCATGCCCTGCCCAGATCCACGGGCACACATGCCCCCCGCGTGCCCTCTCGGGGTTCAAGCAGCAGTGGGAGACGCTTCCCTCCCACCACGAGCTGTGGCTCCGGCCCTGCCCCTCCCACTCCACGTGGGCCATGCCTGCCCCTGCCCTCTCCCTCACCATGGGGGGGTGTTGTTCACTCATGGAGGAGCAGAATGAGGCCCTTCTTGATGATCACCTGGGAGTGGAGCTGCATGGGACTCATAAGTGCTGAAAGTCAAAATTATTTCAGAGTTTCAATGACCGCGTCTTTATGTGAAGTTCCTAGTGGCAGCTGGTTCCCCACTGTACTATATATTATTGTCTTTATTTAAAAGAGTCAGCCCTAGGAAATGCATCTCTGGACCCAGTAGAACTGTTGTTTGTATTCCTCTGAGTCAAAAAGTCAAGTAACTCACTCTCCTGGCAACCCAGGTTTTTTGCTGTCTGTAAACCTAGTTGCATTTTCTTCTACCTTGTGTTCCAATAGTATAAAGTTTGAGTAGACCTTGCACTCTCCTCTGCTGTCTTGTCGAGCCCAACTTCTACTGTGAGAAGTCCCTCACCTTCCCTTTCTTCTGTTCAAAGGAATGACCCTGTTATCATCCTGTATGTTTTGTCAGCCTTCATGTCATTGTTAAATAGCTCCATTCGTCCCAGGGTACCAAGGAAGAGAAATGGGGAAAGCCACTTGTGTGAAATAGTAGTCAACATTCATTCTTGCCCTAGAGCTTGCATAGTAGTGATCCTGCATACAGAATGATGCTCCAGTGTGTACAGCATCTGCTATTTTAAGAATTTGAATAGTCACTTGTCATTCTAAGGGTTGTCATCATGAAATATTGTTTTCCTTTGATGTCACCGGTTTCTTTTACACATATCATTTTTTTAATTTCTTTTTGTTTTGGTGCAGAGGTTATTGTTTTCTATGATGTGCTCAAAACTTGAGAAGCATGTGTGAAATCCAAAAATTAATGCAAATAAATAAGCAATAGAGATGTTATTTTGAAAAGCTGGATAATATTAAGGAAATCTATTTCCACTAAAGTACCAAAACCTGACTGTTATTGCAATAAGAGAATCATAAGGCATGAGTGCGCGAACAATGAGGTAAGAGCAAGAGAGACCCAGTTTATTAAAATGATATTTTATAGCTAATACGGTAAAAGAACAGAAATTAACATTTTAATTTTTACACAGATGCTATTAACAAAAACACTCCTAATGATGGTTTATGGCCTTTACTTACAGTAGCTATAAGGCATAATAGCTCCCACAAGCATGTTAAAATATGTTTTGTTTTGTTTCTAGATCTGTTAGCTGTGCCTAAGCATCCGTATGCTGCTATGGAGAACTGGGGACTAAGTGTTTTTGTGGAGCAAAGGATACTGCTTGATCCAAGCATTTCGTCTATACCCTACTTATTGGATGTCACCATGGTCATCGTACATGAGTTATGCCATCAGGTATGACCATGTACTTAATTATGAACACTTGGGATGGACCTGAAAATTCAAATATATTTCTTTTTAGAGCTGATATTTTCACACACCTGATTGCACATTTCTTTTAACAATATTCAAAATAACGTGATGAGCTATGAGATGCGTATACAGTGCACAGAATCAAAACAAACAAATAAGAGACAAAAGCCAACATGCAGGAATGAATAACACTTCATCACGTTGAGCTTAGGGTGCAATGGTGTTGCTGCCCAACAGCTTCCAGGTATTCTGTGCTCAGTCAGTATTGTATCAGATTTATATACCTTTCCTCTGACCATAACAGTGTATGAGTGTGTGTATATGGTACAGATACATCTACATACATGTATAGTTAACAAATTGATGGCCTTAAAAGTAATTTATTGTATTTACCTGAATCCAAGGCAGCTTCAAATTTTAGACTGCCTCCCAATAATTAGATTCTATACATAGAAAATTGTAAATTTTGTTATAATTCTCGATTTTTAGAATCTAATTATTGGAGGATTGTCTTAAATACATATCCCGCAACTATGGTGGGGAAAACAGTAGCAGGGGGGGCAAATGGCAGAATAAGAAACAGCAGGGGGGCAGGTGGCCTGACCCCCACCCCTTGTTCTCCCTCCCTGCCCTCCTGCCAGTTGTGCTCCCTGCAGCATGTGACCCCTGCCACTTGTCCCCCTGGTGCCTATCCTCCCTACCACATGATGCTTTGGCATTTGTCCCTCTGCTGCTTGTCTCCCCTGTCATTTGCCTCCCCCACCATTGCCTGTTCCATTCTCCCCCCAGCCTCTTGCTCCCTCTTACTGCTGCTTAGCTTGCATTGGCTCTGGCTCCCAGTCAGGTAGCAGCTCTGACTCTGGCCCTTGGCCAGGCCAGAGCTGGGCCAGGGCCAGAAGTGGACTTGTAGCATCTCCCCTGTTGCTGTGCAGTCTCCCCTGCATTCCCCTGCACCACACAGTCTCTTCCATACAACCCCCACCATGCACTGTCTCCTGCATGTAGGCTACACGCTGCATGGCATAAATGACTGGTGGCTCCCGAGACTGGGGTGGGGGCACCATTTGTAGGTGGCAGCATTGGCGGCAAGTGGGGACTGCCAGTAGACACTGGTGGTGGCGTCAGTGGTGGGGGTGGCGAGCAGGGACTGCCCGCAGATGCTGCTGGTGGTGTTGGTGGTGATGGGAGGGTGGTGAGTGGTGACCACTTGCAGAAGCCAGCAACGGTGGCAGCCAGTCTTGGGGTTGGCACGTTTTCCCCCTCCCCCCGTACCCTCCCATGAGTCACCTATGCTGCATGGTCTCTCCTGCACTCTCCCCCCTACACCATGTGGTCTCTCCACTGTACAGTGTTGCCTTACCGAGACTTCCCTGCAGTGCATTCCCCTACCCATCACATGAGTTTCCTTGAACGACCCTGGCCATGACCAGACAGCAGCAGCAGTGGCAGTAGCAGAAACTCTGGCCCTGGCTGTGGGCCTGGTGCTTGAATCCAAGGCTTTCCAACCCCTCCCCTCCCCAACCCACCCCTTAAATGCAGGAAAAAACCTTGTCTTGGATTTGAATAACTATAGTATTAGAGCACTGTAGCAGATTCAGGCTAAACTTCATGTTCACAACCATTTTCTGTGGCAAAAATAAATTTGGAAGTCCCCTTCTGCAAACGCACTTTTTTTTATTCTGGCATTAACTATCTGATCATAAGTGATGAATATTTTGTCTCTGTGTATTGAAAATCTTGTATCAATTTAAGAATAAATTTGTAATAAATCCACATTGCGATTTATTGCATCTTTCTTCCATCTTCTTGAACTAACCACATTACAAGAGTTTAGTAATATTGAGTTGAATGCAAATATTATTGAAGAAATCTGCTACAGGGACAGGAAACCCTTTTTTGCACTGGTAACAGGCATAATCATAGCCTTCAGGTTAAAATGAATGAAATCCTACTGTGTAATCAGCATGGCTTACATCTGCGACTTTACACAGGAGCCTTTAAAAAGCCAAGTAAATTCTTAACATTTTTTCAAAATAAAAAACAAGATGTAAAGAATAACTTTGGAATGGGGATATTGGTGAGTGAATCTAGAAATTATACTGGTGGGCTCATACTCATGATTCATATTGAAAGAGTAGATGAAAATTAAGTCGTCAACTAAAATTTGAAATGTTTATTGCAAGTTATTGCTGGTTTAATCTCAGTATGATCACCTTACTTTTTCATCTATTCTATATTATGTAGTACCATAAAGCAACACACAGCAGGCTTGGAAAAATCACAGAACCTTAGAAATTAGGTGTAAAAAACACACTTTAGGTTGCTTAGATCACTTCTTTTTTTACTGTTGGATTCTTTATATATATATATATATATATATATATGTGTGTGTGTATGTGTATATATATATGTTTTGAATATATATATATATA